GACCATTTGCTTAGATTACATCTATGGCAGAATGTGCTATAGCCCTGCGGCAGCAATCCGCGGGCTATAGTACTAGAGCTAGGTCCGGTATAGCACTGGCAGCAAGATCAAGCCCGCACGTACAGCACACACGCGGGGCCATTGACTATATATACAACAATAGTATATATAGTCAATAGTATATAGTATATATAGTCAAGTTGTATATATAGTCAATGGCGCCGCGTGTGTGCTGTACGTGCGGGCTTGATCTTGCTGCCAGTGGGCTATAGTACTAGAGCTAGGTCCGGCATATTAGATGGTACCCTCTCAGCCACAGTAACAGAATACGGATGACCATTCACATACGATATCGCAACGCTGATCTTCACGCTACCGCACAACGCTTCCGTAACACTAACCATGACCCTTAACTACAAATTCTTACCCATGGCTGCTCCGGTAGTGTAAATGTTGGCTTGTGGGGACACACACGGGGAGCTGTTTTTATAACCGTAGAAAGGGGTGGGCCCCGCCGTGCCACTGTGCGTCTGGTAGCCATTTTGGATCGTCGCTGCATACCCGAGCGTCGTGTAACCATTCTGTATGTCCGTCGCCACGGCAACGCCGTTCTGCTGCTCAGCGGCGGCGGCGGCGGCAGCAGCGACGGCGGGCGACGACTGCATATCGCCGCTAGCGAACGACGAGTAACCGTTCTCCAGCTGTAGAGCCGCACATGACGCCGCGTACACGTACGAGTATGCCTCCGCCTGCTTCTGGAAGCCACCGCCGCCTCCTCCTCCGCCGCCGCCGCCGCCGCCGTCAGTAATGTAGTTCATGAGATGCGAGCGAGTGTATCCGACGTCGGCTGCCGACGTCGTCATGTCGTGCCGGTGCTCCTTCTGCACAAACTTAATGGCCTTCGGGTTGAGCGTACTGCGCGTCGCTGCTGTCGTCGTCAGACTCGGCAGCGAGTCGACGGACGACGAGCCTCCGCCGTTAGTCGACGTCATACTATCCGTGTCGCTCTTGCAGCTTCCCGCATCCTCCGACTCCCCGGCCGTCGTCGGCTTACACGGCGACAGATCGTCGGCGCTGACTGTCGTCGGGCCGCGTCCGCTGCCGCCGCCACCGCCGCTCTTACACTCGGCCGCCGTGCGACTCTTGAGTATGTACAGCTGACAGCCGTTGATAGTGTGGATGTTGCGCACGAGTTCGTGGTTGCGGTGACCGCGTGGTTGGTGGCCCTCCTTACCATGATGATGCTCCCTGTTCAAGGCACTCTTCTGACGCGAGTAGGTCTGCGAGGGAAGCCTGAACGCATCTTGCTCCATCCTAGGATGCTTCATGGCTCTGCTGCTGCTGCTCCTCGTGCTGCACGTAGCCGGCGCGTCAGTGAGTGTGAGAGCGAGCGCGAGCGTACAGACGAGCAGCGCACCGCTAATCTGAACTCGGCCGCATTACGGACGTGCGAGGGCGCATGCAGGCGCGGTACTGCTGCTGCTACTGCTGCTGTGCCAGTAGAAACGCGAGCTGAAAATAGAACACTTGTGGCTCACACACGCTCGCGCACACACACATACAACGCCAGTAACGCCTCCACGGCACGCTGCAGCAACTACTAGTACTACTACTAATGCTGCTGCTGCTGCTGCTGCTGCTGCTGCTTTTGTCGTCTCCTCCTCTGCAGACATTACACACTCAACTGTCTAGGCGTGGTTTTCACAATGGAAACAAGGAAGGGAAGTCAAATTCCGAGCACATGAATTAGGGTGAAACCTTCTCAATTTACCCCGTGCGGCGTACGTCCACCTGATGCTGCTCATAGCTAACATGTAGCAGCACCAGTGGGCGCCACACATGCAGCGACGATTCAATCAAATGTTGTACACATGTGGGACGGAAGCTGGTGGGTGAATCGCCGAGACGCATGTGAAGAGGCGAGATCAGGATAACAGATTTCTGATTAATCATAAGAAACTCTCAAGTTCCAGTCAAAGTCACCCACGTTATCTCGTATTACGTTGTCACATTTTTGTTTTGGTTGTAAACATCTAAATGATATAATAATAATGTACGATGTACGCCGATGTACTTTTGTGTACATACATTATTTCATCTTGCCCCCTATAATGATGCTGATATCGAATTACGTGGATTCTATGTGTATTGACAATATGTCCTAGTCTGTCCGTGTCCCTCCTCTTCCTCTGCTCATCCCCCCATGTACCCCTACCCCTCCTTCTTCGCCCTGTAGCCACCCATGTCCTTCCATTCTCGTCTTCCCCGTCTCCTTTCCCATGTCTCCTACCCTGCTTCCTCCACACATATCTCCCTTTTACCTTGTCCTCTTTCCCCTCTTCTCCTCCCCTGCTCCCTCCACACATACCCCTTCTGCACTGTCCTCTTTCCCCGCTTCTCCTCACACACACGAACGTACGCACGCACACATGCACACACGTGTACCTGCACACGCACGCACGCACGCACGCACAAACGTGTACCTTCACACGCGCGCACGCACGCACGTGTACGTGCACACACACGGACGCACGCACGCATGCACGCACGTGTAAGTTCACACGCACGCACGCACGCACATGTACGTACGCACGCTCGCACGCACGCACGTGTACGTGCACACGCACGCACACACTCATGCACGCACGTGTACGTGCGCACGCACGTATACATGCACATGCACACGCGCGCACGCACGCACGAACGCACGCACGCGACTGTACTGTGCACATCACACGGACGCGCGCCACGCACGTCAACGTGTAGCGTGCACACACACGGACGCCCGCAACGCACGTGTACGTTGCACGACGCGCGCACACACTCATGGCTCCGCGCACGACTCATGTGAATTTGGGAGCTATACAGGCACACCTGTATATATTCGGTCCGTTTCTCGTGGATTGAACGGAGGCAGTTTCTTTCACGTGATTCTCATGCAATACGATGTTTCATGTTAGCTGTAATTCCGACTCGCGCTTACAACATACACTGATAGCTAGCATGAGCGTCAGCATTACTTTCAACCTGAAGACGTACGGCTTCGTAGACCGACGTGGGCTAGCAGGCGGAATTGGAAAGGAAAGCCTTGCTAGCACCACTTGACCTATAGATTTTAATTGAACTGGACACATTGCAGGTCACAGCGTGGGGCTCACATGACGTGTAATCCACGTGTTCCACACCGGCTGTATCACTAAGCTGCGCGGCTGTCAGCTCCACAGCAAACACAGAGCCAGCTTGGCTCAGTCCAGGAACGCCGCACCCTCTCCACTGCTCTCTACTGCTGGCGGCTTGTCCAGCACTGCGCTAGCTGACCATCGGAGGGTTGATAGCGGAAGCTGGTCAGTAAGTCTATCGCAGAGGATACACAGTCTCAGCGACGATGATCACGTACCGGGCTTGCTGCCCTCCTTCCTGACACAAGAATACAGCAGCGGCGGAGCCAAGCTCGCTCAGTCAGGGATAGCTCCGCACCCTCTCATCAATCGCGCACGACACGACGTGTAAGTTCGCGACGCAACGCATGCACGGACGTGTACGTGCGCACGAGGCACGCACGCACGCACCGCACACGTGTACTCGTGCACTACCATAAACAGCGGCTTTCTATCAGAACATGTGGTCATTCAATTTCTAAGTAAATGTCTCGCAGCACGCTTTGCTTTCTGCCAACAACGAAACACATATACCAATACACGTGAAGCCTGATCTATGACCGTCACGTGATAACATCGCTTTAAGGCTTGCGCGATGGTGTGTGCATATGTTTGCTAGTGAATTAGACCTGGGCTAAAATTTCGAAACTGTTGCGCTGGGCTAATTGATCCGTGCGCCCGACCTTTCGATTGCGCACGGATCAAAAGCTGCCCAGCGCGAATAAACATTTTCGTAGGAAACGTTCCGCAGGCGTCAGCAGTGCCCTGCTGCGGAACTGACGCGCAAGATTCGCGCTTCTAGCGGCAGGATGCACAACACCCTCTCAGGCGCACGCTTCATCTGTATGCCGGTCTCTCATAACTGGAGTTTTCACTTTTACGATTTACGAGTAACCTGTTCTGAGCATATTTTAATCCGAGCAATCGACGCGTGGAGAAACAGTCCACTCACTCTTTCACGGACCGAAAACAATCAACGAACTGATAAACGTTCCCGTTTCTACTGTTGATTGATCGCCGATTATCCCAGTTCGACCCTGACTTAGAACCGCCGCGCAGGCGTGTCACGAACTGTCCACAATAACGCTCTGCAAATTCCTCACAGCCAACACGTTACCTATACTCACTACCACAGGCACTTTGAGGCGCTTCAATAAAATATAATGCTAAATAAATACGAAAATTCTATTTACTACGCAAACGTCTGTAATGTGTCTCTAACTCTCGTTCACATCTATATTAGCGACAATTTCCTGTAAATACTGTCGGCAACATGCTCATCTGCAACACACGCTGCTGCCGCACGCTAGCTTGCTGGCAACACTGACATCATGTGACGGCATTTACAGGAAATTGTCGCGCATAATAGGTGAAAGAGAGTAGAAGAAAACATTAAGACATTTGTAGTAACTAGAATTTCGTATTTAATTTAGCATTAGCCTTACATTTTATTGAAAGCGCTCTAAGTGGCCTGTGCCACTAACGGCCGCAATGCAGCCCGCCGCCGCCGCCGCCGCGACCACCGCCGCCGCCAGACGAGCGGTAACCGTGATCAACGCAGTCAAGGACAGAGCGCAATAAACACGGATCCTTACTCCATGTTAGAGAAGCGAGAGGGGAGCAGCTGTCTAAGCTACCCCATCCCAGCGCTCGCTGCCTCTGACCTCGGTCGCTCTCTATGTCCCTGAAAAAGCTAGAGCCGGAACAACTTTGAAACTTGTACAGTAAATATATCTAATATATATTGAGTTCGTATGTTGTACTGTGGTGCTATTGTGTATGTGTGTATGTGTTGTGTGTTTGTGTGTGTTGTGTGTGTGTGTGTGTGTGTATGTGGTGTGGTGTGTGTGTGCTGTGTGTGTGTGTGTGTACTGTGTATGTGGTGTAGTGTGTAAAAAAATGGGTGTGTATGTGTGTAAATTGTTGTATGGTGTATGTGTGTATTGTTGTATGTAATGTATTATGTATAGTATTGTATTATTGTATGTATGTATGTATGTATAATGTATGTAATGTAGTATGTATGTATGGTATGTATGTATTATTATGTATGTATGATGAATGTATGTAAGTATGTATGTATTATTATGAGTATGTATGTTATGGGTATGTAATGTATGGTATGTATGTCTGTATGTATGTATGTATTATGTATGTATGTTATGTATGTATTATGTATGTGTGTATGTAAGTATGTATGTATCTTTCACCTATCAGCGGCCAAACGCGCCCAAGCGATCCTGGATGCAATTTTCACAGGCGGCCATCCTTATATCCCGGGGAGTGTTTCCTAGATGAAAAAAAACCTGTTCAAACCGTCCAAACTCACCGAAACAATTCCGTGAAAAACCCTCAATTCGTGAATTCTTCACATCAAATGCAAGCAGCTGACTGTACAGTCTGCCACAGCAGAGAAAAATGCGATTCCCGTACCTCATCACCGGCTGCTGTAGTTGTGAAACGCGAAACCAATTTACTAAAACACACCACAACAGTGACCCAAAGTTTCACCATTCAGAAGGTAGTACCACGTCAGCTCAACAGAGGTTCATTCAGATCTACCATCTCAGAATGCATTGAACATCGAAAAGTATGCAGTTTTCTGATTCAGTAGGGAAATTTCTTCATTTTCAATGTTGCATGGTGCGTGTTCTCTATCATATACTAGAGCAGCTAATAAATGACACAAATTCTCAATTATTAGCCCTGATGAGCTGAATATTCCTTTATTTCCATTGGCTAAACGGATCTCACAATGGATAGTAGCCGATGTGAAGCTCAAGAAGTTGGAGACGCCAGGAATCTCTACATTTGTAACAACCAGAGAATAAGACTAAACATTCTTTATCAAAGAGGCTTTCAAGATGAAAAGTCCAACCCAGTTCCTACATGCTCTTATAATAACTTTTGTCATTTACACCATATACCAATATGTTCCCCAGGGGTTTCTAATTCGGTTTGTGCGCTAGTCATATAAGAATTGTCAATACGTAACAGTTTTTCCGTTTTCCACATGCTTATTATCTTATTACAGCCAATTTCTAACATTTTCTAATTGCTGCAATGTTTTGTCGATTTTTACCGCAATGTTCCTATTCTGTCCCGCCATTATTAATAGTAGCTATGAATTAGATCACGCACGATTTACTAGCGCAGCGGTTACCCGCAGCTAGATATACTATTATATATAATAATATATATAGTATATATATATAAGTATAGTATAGTATATAGAGAGAGAGAGAAGAGAGAAGAGAGAGAGAAATTAGATGATAGATAGATAGATAGATATATAGATAGGTTGTATATATATATAGCACATATATTAATATCTATATATAATATATAGAGAGA